TCTTCCTCTAAAATGGCTCATAGGCCTCATTTCTCTCACCCCTAAGAAGAGGGTATTTAAGCTTCCACCATTTGGCCCTTCTCTGAGTTTCATACTCCGTGTCTCACCTGGGCCTTCATGTTAATGATTTTGTACTTCTTTTTTTCTGTTAGTTTGTCTGTTGTCAGTTCATTTCAGCAGACTCAATAATTGAAACTTTGTAGGGAAAGTTTGAACTTCCCCCCAAAGGGAAATCTTTATTCCTAACAATGCCTCCTTTTCTCCCTTCTGTGAGAGAGCAGTCCACAGTCTCCTTGTGGAGCTTTGGGACACACTTAGCGTGGCTGGGCCCTGAGGAGAGGCAGGTATCAGCAGCAGGACGGGCAAGGTGGCGGAGTCACCACCACATCCTGGGCTGCCCTGGGGGATCCGGGAGCCTGGCTATGCCTCTCCATCTGCAGATTTCCACCTAGAGAAGGAGTGTCTCTGAGGTTTCCTAGTCCCCAGGAAAGCCCAGATGTGTCGTCTCCCTCATAATTTTTCACAGAAGGGTCTCCACTGGGGGGTGTCTGGCCAGTATGTTGGGCTCAAGTGCAAGAACTCTGATCTGGAGTGGGGTTTATTAATCTGGGTGCATCAGAATCTCCTGGGAACTTCAATATCTACAGCCACCCTTTCCTGAAATTTCAAGAATCTGATGAGGCGAATTGGAAATACATCCTGGAACTGTTGTTGACAACTGCCCAGGTGGTTCTAAAGCCGAGATAGGTTCAGGCATCTTGGCTGGAGCTAGTAGGTGAGGCTGGCAGATACCTGGTGGGAGGCAAGAGCCCTCTGCTCAGGTGGCTCTGCAGAGGTGACACTGAGGAAGCCTAAGCTCTGGTGACATGGTCCAGAGTTCTCTCTGCTTACCTTGACTTTATATCTGAATGATGCAGAAGACCCATATAGATAATTGTGTTCATTTCATGGTGTTATCTGGGGTAAATTGTTTTCCAGGAGCAGAGAATTCGGGTTTTGTCATAGAGTACCTCTTTTATATATAAATGTTTCTCCATTATATACTTATGGCTACACTCCGTTTAAGACTTCAGATCCTTGCCATTGGCGTACTAGAGTCCCAAGAATATCCCAAGGTCTTAAAAGACAGGTCTTTCTGGGCACAGCTTCCATTGTACATTCCCTGTGGTGGGGAGCTCAGCACCCTAGCCCCTCGGGTCATGTCGAGTTGAGACTAATCATCAGAGATGCCTTTGTGATGTCACTTATAAACCAGCTTTCCTGCAATTCCTCCACCCAGACACGTCAGCCACTCTTCCTTTGCACACAATAATGCTGAGAGACATGAGGATAGCCAGTGTATCTACTGACTTCTAAGCAGAGGTTAAGCAGAGGCTGACAGCACTTCTCAGAGCTCAGTGTGCAAAGGAATCACTCACCTGGTGCTGTGGTCCCCTCCCCTGGCTGAGGATTGGTACTGCTTCTTGGCCTATTAGGAAGCAGGCTGCACAGCAGGAGGTGAGCAGCAGGTGAGACAGGGAAGCTTCATCTGTATTTACAGCTGCTCTCATCCCTTGCCTCACTGGCTGAGCTCCACCTCCTGTCACATCAAGGGTGGCATTAGACTCTCATAGGAGAGTGAATTCGATTGTAAACTATGCATGTGAGGGATCTGGGTTGAGTGCTCCTATGTCAATCTAAATCCTGCCCCTACCCCTGTACATGCAAAAATTGTTTCCATAAAACCAAGAAGGTTGAGGACCACTGATTGAGGGGATCTTGTGAGGATGCAGAGTGAGATTCTGGATTTCTAACAAGTTCCCTGTAATGTGGAGGCTGCTGGTCCATGAACTCACGGAGACACTGGCTGGGGGTTAAGAGAGCCCACCTAGGCTTGGCATCTGTGACTTAGCAGTTAGGGCATATGCACCAGAGCTGGTGGGTTTGAATCTGGCAACAATGACAACTGCAATAAAAAATAGCCGGGCACTGTGGCAGGTGCCTGTAGTCCCAGCTATTTGGGATACTGAGGCAAGAGAATCACTTAAGCTCAGGAGTTTGAGGTTGCTGTGAGCTGTGATGGCATGGTGCTCTACTGAGGGCAACATAGTGACACTCTGTCTCAAAAAAAAAAAAAAAAAGAGAGCTCAGCTAGAAGTGAGGGGGCCTGAGGCTTAGCTCCTCCCTGTGGGCAATTACATTCTATCCTATGTTGTTATCTTTATTACAACAAAATGACAGCAACGAGGCCTCTCACAGGTTTGTGTGAGCCTGGAGACAGGCTCAGGGTCCCCGCCTGGGGCCAGCACGTGGATAGTGTGTTCCCCAAGGTGTGCTCTTAGGTAGTTTTAGCTGAACTAGCCCAGGGTCTTCCCTCATTTGGGAAGATTAAGATTAAACAAAAGATTAAGGCAACATCTACAGTTTCCACCAACAGCATGTTTTCAAAACTCTCATTGCTGTCCTATTGCACACAATGGTAGAAATAGTGTTTTTCTTCTTGGCAACCTCCATGAGTGAAATACCAAGTCAGAAGCTGAAGGACTTATCAATAAAGGTCTATCCTGCAAGGGTACCTTGGTTCAGTTTTTGTGCTGATTAGAAATGCTAATGATCGTTTAGCTAAATCAGTATATTTTGATATGGCAAGATAGACCTATTAGCATTTAATACATGTCATCTTTGATGGAAAGGTTAAAACTGGGGAAACTCTGGTTTCTTCCTAAGTTAGTGCCCCACTCTGTGTTTCTAGACTTGGCTTAAGTGCCATCCCCTAAAGGAAGCCCCTTTTCCTTCCAGGCAGGTGCTCCTCAGAGCCAGCTATTAAATCATTCAATGCATCGGATCATCATTGTACATTTTCTCTATGACATTTTAGCTCTTTGAGTGCAGAGATCCAAACTTATTATCATCTTATCTTCAATGCCCATCAGGTGCCTGGCACATGGCAAATGTTTGTAAAAGGGAGAGAGAGGGGAAGGAAGGAAGGAAAGAAGGGAGGGAAGAAAGGAAGAGAGAGAGAGGAGAGAGGGAGGAGAGAAGGAGGCATAAATGACATCCCTCAGGAACAAATGGGAAGCAGAGAACATCACTGGTGAGAGGGTGGGCTTGCCTGGGTAGGGACTCTCACTTCGTGTTCTGGGGAGGCACCACTTACTTCTAGGAACAGGGGTTCTTCTGTAAGCAAGTGGGGGCTTCCTTCTGGCTGACTTGCTGGGAGCAAGTCTTTACGTTCAGCTCTACCCACGACTCTGCCAATATTGCTTCTAAGAAGATGACTGCTTCCCCAAGTCAGTCCCCACAGGTCATCTTTTTTCCTTGTAGGGACACAGTTACTATACCTGTGGTTGTTATTGAACTGAGGGATTTTCTTTTGTTGGACAATTCTTTTCCTGGGGCTCTGAGAATTTTTAAATGAGGCATTATTTTTCATATTTTAGTAAGATAAAAATAAAGTGGACAGGCTGCTGGAGATGATTTGGTGGCAGAATCAAAATGCCCTTTTGTTCTTGTCACTTGGACCCAGTGAATGACTTGTGGGCACCAGATTTCTGGAACAGTGGCCTGCTTGCCCTTCTGGTGAGTCATCTGGCTGACTCTCCAAGTGTGGTCAATTGAATGGCATTGGCTGGGGTGTGTGTGTGTGTGTGTGTGTGGGTGTGTGTGGTATTTTCACAGTGAAAATCAAGTGTGGGTACATTTGTTGGGAAAATAAATAGATATAAAATCCTGAATCCAAATCATGACCTAGACGTGCTCAAAGCCCCTGAGAGTCCTGGATTAGGATATTCTGGGACTTGGTGGGCTGTGAGCCTCCCTGTCTCCCCAGTGTGGAAACAGCACCTTTACCAAGAGAGCTAGAAAGACATGTTTTACATGTCCTCTGGTCCTGGGCAGCATGGTCCTGGCAGCTGTTGAGGTTTTTAAACAAAAAGGGGGTGCTCTCTGTTCCCATGTTTCCCATGGAACAAGAATTAAGAGGCCTCAGCAGAAATTGTGGGTGGAAGCCCATGAGGACCCAGTGGTTTCCTTCTCAGCCTGCTGCCCTCAGTGGCCACCTGCTCTCAGACCCTCAGAGTCTCAAAGGCACAGTTGCTACACTCTACTCCCTTTAGTTGATTCAGATACTTCCCTCCAAATTCCCAAAGGTTGGGGACTTAGGGACAGGGGCAGGACACAATTTCCTTTTGAATGCAGACCACAAGTACCAGTCACTAAGTCAGGGTGGTCAGGGTTCTGACTCAGCTTTCCCAGGCTTGGTCTTGATCTTCGGTCTTCTTGATGTTTGCCCCACCCCTACCTCCTACCCCCAGCACTGCTGGAGGGCCCGGTCCCAAGAAGGCACAGGCAGGGGTTGCAGGACTGAGGTAGGACTTGGGGCTGCAGGCATGAGGAGGCATCTTTGGCCAGACCTGACCCTTGCCACCCACCGAAGGAAACTAGGAGTCCAGGGACAGAACCACATCGGCAAACTTGTTTCATTTTTTAAAAGGTGGCCTTTTCTTTATCAGAAAATAGCCTCAGGAGGCAGGTTTCCTCCTGTGAAGAAACCCATTCTATGCCAAGAAACATTTCTGCAAGGGTGCCTTGGATCCATCCTCCAGTTCCACCTGAGTTGACCTGGAAACTGGCTGCTATGTCTGAGGTGGGGCTCAGGGGTTCGGTGGGTGCAAGGTCAGAGGAACCCTCAGGACCAGTAATGGCCAGGACAGGGAGGGAGGGATAGAGGGAGGAAGGGGAAGAGGGGAGTGGAGTGGATCTTGGAAGGGGATAGAGGGGATTGTCAAGAAAGCAACTCCATTCCTCAGAGGGGATCCCAGAGGAGCCCTCCAGATGAGGTTGCCTCAAGATCCCCTCTTCCTTTTGGACTTTAGGGCTGTCAAAAGGCTAAGCGTGTAGTAGTAGTGGGGTATGTGTGTGTGTGTGCATGTGTGTGTGTGTATGTGGCTTGTTCTGGGGCAGGGGAAGTAAGCTCCTTTGGGTTTATCTGGGAATGGGTGGGGGTCAGTCTGCTGCCATTCTCAAGAAATGCCCTCTGTGGCAAAGTCCTCCAGGTCGTCTGTGGAGATGATGCCCAGGCCTGGTGCTTCTGTGCCCTCTTCTTCTGGGCCCTGGGGAGGCCTCTGGGGGGACTGGCCTGCAGAGTGCTGGGTGGGGTCACCCTGAGACCCCAGGGCCGGCAGCAGTCCAGCCTCATGGGCACTCTGGGGCCTGGCTCGGGCTGCCCTGCCGGTGCACGGGGCCTGCCTCAGGAAGGTGGGGGCAGAGAGCTGAGAGGAGCAGCGCAGGGGCATCAGGGCTGTCACGGGCACGGGCTGGAAGCCGGGGTACAGCATGTAGGGAGCAGCCAGGGCATCTGGCGGGGGCGGCTCAGGGGAGGCCCCCTCTGAGGAGGGGACGGAGACCTTGACATACTTGCCCGTCTCTGGGTCATAGAAGGTCTTGATTTTCACCTGGAGTGGCAAGTCGAAGACAAAGTACTCTCCAGACTGGGGATCCTGGAGCACCTTCTGCGTGGCAGGGTAAGAGGGCAGGGGTGTGAGGGCCTGGGGTCCCCCCGACTGCCTCCTGACAAGCTCCGGGAAGCCAGACACAGAGTGGCGGTGCAGGGGAGGGGGCAGGGAGCGGACTATGGGGAAGCTCTGTTGGGGTCTCTCTCCAGGGGACGGAGGCCTTTGCTCTGTCCAGTCCAAGTCCTCAGGGCAGGGCTTTCCCTCTCGGGACTCGCCATGCTTCTCGAGCACCTGCTCAGTCTTTCTCCTCTTGCTTGCCAGCTTCTTCGCCCGCCGCAGGGCCTTCTCTGTCTTGGGAGGGACTGCAGGTGGCTTGCCGGCTGCCCTTTCCAGCTGCACAAGATGCTCCAGCCTCCCAGGAGTGCTGGCAGAGCTGGCAGCCACATCTGGCAGGGAGCTTCTTGGAGAGAGTGTACGGAGGTCTTCTGCTGATGGCTCAAGTTGAGGGTCTGAGCTGGCCTCCCACATGAGGGCATGGGTCAGGTCCTCCCTTCGTGTGACCCTGGCAGGACCAAGGCTGGCCCAGGGGCTGGCCTGAGGATCCTGGGACAGCAGCTCCAGTTCACTGGTGGCAGGGGAGCACACGCTGCTCTCCCCCACGGAGCTGGAGTTGGGAGAAGTTACCATCTCACCAGGGACCAGTCTTCTCCAAGGTGGCCGTGCTCTGGGTGTAGACAATAAGTGGCTATTGAAACCTTGTGTCTGTTCTTCCCAGCAGGTTTCAGGCTGCCATGGTAGTGGCTGGTCTTCTAAGTCACCCTCGGGTAAAGCAATTGTGGGGATGTCCCGGGGGGCGGCCCGCTTTCCCGAGTCTGTGGAACTTCTCTTGCTATCATTTGCCATGACTGTACGTGCTGCATCTGGAGGTGGCTTCATCCCCTTCCCCTCTCCCGCCAGAGCCAGAGATGGAGAATTCCCCTTTGGGGCAAGCTGAGAGGTCTCCATCCTGGCCGTGCCAGACACCTGCCCAGGGTCCTTGGTGACATCACAGGCCATGAGCTTCACATGTGTGCCCTGCGTGTTAGCAGGTGTCAGCATGCCAGGCATTTCCTGGCTTCCTGGGGTACAGAAACCAGCATCCTCGCCCCATCCTGGCCTTGGTGAGTCCTCTCTGTGGCCACTGGCAAGAGAGTCCTCAGAGGACATGGTCCTCAGGAGAGGCAGCATAATAGGTTTTATTACGGGGGTAGCCCTGAGTGTGTTGTCTTTAATTGGAAACAGTATGTGCTTGTTTGCAGCAGAAGATGGTGAGGGCATAAGGTCTTTGGTATGTGGAAGGGAGGTACTCCTATGTCCCCCAACCCAAGCGCCTCTGAAATTAGCTTCCTCTGTTGGTGCCTTCCTGGGTCTTCCTCCTACAGACACACTTTCCCCTTCTCTTTGCAACGCTTCCTTCTTGCTGTGCTCTTCCACATGTGCGTGCCCGTCGCTTAAGGCACAGCACTGTGGCTCATCTCCCCCCATCACCTTCTCCTTCTCATCCTTCTGACTGTCACCTGCACTCAAGTCATTCTTCCTGTCTTCCCGCTGGCTCTCAACAAACCACGTCTTCTGCTGGTCATCAAACGAGGCAAATGATTGATCTGAAGAGCTGGTGCTGAATTTGGCCTTGCTTTTGAGGCCTGGCATAAAATCAGACTGGGTGTCACTGTAAAACACATCTTCCTCCTCGGGAGACTGGGGCCCTGGGGAGAATTTCTGGTTCAACTGTGGGTTCTGAAGTCCTCCCTCTCTCTCTGGTTCTGTCTCTTGGGAGATGGATCTCAAGAACCCATTTTCTAGCTGGTGGGTCTTAGTTTTCTCTGTAGCCTCTCCAGCCTCAGACTCCCTGTTGCAAAGCTTCAGGGAGAGCTGCTTCCTGGGGTGGTATTCCCTGGGGTCTGGACACCATCCAGACCTGGGGGAACCCATCTCCGACTCTCCATCTCCGTTGTTGTTCTCATGACTGTTCCTCTCGGAGGCTTCTCCGTTGACACAGAAGGGTGTATTGGAGATGGTTGGAGGTGTGCTAGGAGTTAGACAGCTGTCTGTAGGGGACTCACTGGGGTTGGCTGTAAGGTTCTGGGCACTGATCTGTGATACAGTGGGGGCATCTGTAGGTCTCTCCTTGGCAAGCTCCTTTGGGGGGCTTTCCTGAAGCCCATTGGGAAGCACACCATTGCTGATGGGCTCTTGCTTTCCATCAACTTTACCTCTGGTTTTCTCATCTAGGCCTCTCAAAAGAGGCGAGGAGCTGTATGTGCTCTTAACACGCTTCCGCACATCCTTGAGGTTGAACAGCAGGCTAGAGGCTTTGGCCTTGTAGCTGTCTCGTGGCTGACATTCACTGGGCTCCTTCTCTTGGTATCCATTGAGCTGTCCCGGAGGCGAAGGGGTTGTCTCTGCTGCTTGAGCATCAGATGAATCCAGGGCATGCTTGTTGGGTATGACAGGCGTCAGCAGCTTGCTGATGTTAAAAGGGGGATCGTAGTGCTCGCTGGGGTCCACAGACATATCAAGAGCATCATTTTCTGGAAATTGCCCCTGGGGGTCGTGCTTTGTGTACAGAGGTGGGTCTCTCCTAGAGGTTGGTTTCTTTTCTTCTGGAGCTTTCTGCAGACTTTCTTTCCCTCTTTTGTCAGTCTTTGGTTTTCTCCATGGGGCCTGGGTTGGCTTCACCTGGGGGTCAGGCTGTGAACTGGAGGCTTTTCCCTCCATAGTGAACGACTGGGCTGCTGGATCCCTGAATCCCCAGGGTCCGGATGCGGATGGAGCCCCGGTGGCCAGTATGTTCTCTTCCTGATGGAAGCTGGGCTGGGCTTGGCTGGGAGAGCGTTTGCACTCAGGAGGATGGGCTTCTCTCAACAAGGGCATGTCCTCATAATGTTTGGGAGCTTTGCTTTCTGGGGTCGTTTCAGTATCCTTTCTTTCCAGCAGCTTTGGTTGATGGGCATTCCATGATTCAAAAGCACTGTTTTCACTGTGCAGAAAGGTCCCTCTGTGAGCCCACTCCTTGCTCCTTCCAGGCTCACCCAGGGACAGCTTGTGGGGTGGTGAGCTGGCCGCCCTGTCAGGTGTTGGGAGGAAGCTGCTGGAGCTGTGACAGGCCATTTCAGGATTCTTGGGGGACTCCTGTTCTCCGTGCTTCCTGCCGGGCTGGTGGCCGCCCTGATGGGCACTGGAAACTTCAGCGGGCACCCTCCTGACGGTCAGAAAGGCAGAATCGAAGCAGAAGTTGACACTGCTGTCTGGAAGAGGAGCAAATTTGGGGGGATTTTTCAGAGCGGGCGGCTTGCTGGTGGCAGGCCTGCTCTCACAGCGTTGGCTCTCAGTCCTGTCAAAGGATTTAATTAGTGATGACACTTTGGACATAGGCTTGTGGCTGCTTCTCAGGCCAGCAATTGGTACCTCCAGTCTCCTCTGCACTGGCGTTGGTGGGGGGCTGCTTTTGGGGTACTTTTCCTCTCCTTGAACGTATTTGGGTTGCTGTTGGAGGGCAGCTGCCCAGCCTGCGTGCTCTGTGCCTTGGGATGGTAACTGGCTCCAAATGCCACTCTTCCTGTGGGTGTGGCTCACTGTTCCTTGGTGTAAATTCCGAAACATCTGGCGACTGGTGTCTGGGGACAGGGCCAGGTCGGAGTCATGGAAGGAGGCGTCCTCTGAGATGCACAGGCTCCGGAACGCCCGGTCTGTGAGGCTGCTTACCTCCCTGTCCGCATCGTCCAGCACGCTGCCGATGCTCGAGGAGTCGCTGAAGCCATCTGTGCACTTCTTGTTGCCCTGCATCATCTGTCAGCTTGGGAAGACCGTCAGCCAGTGGGCGATTTGGGGGATGATTCTGGCAAGGATTAGATGTAGGCCTATTTCCACAAAACCAGAGCTTTCTGTCAACCAGATGCAATTACTAAGTGGGTTTATTTTTTTCTCTGCCAAAAAAAAAAAAAAAAAGAACAAGTGTGAACAGAATGTCCAATTTAGCAGCTCTGTGCAAGACCATATGCTGGTGATGGTTAATTTTATGTGTCAGCTTGGCTAGCCTCTACCCAGTTATCGGCTAAACACTGGCCCAGATGTTATGGGGAACACTAGCTTAGATGTTACAAGGAAGGCATTTTTTAGATGTGATTAACATAAAAGTCAGTGGACTTTGAGTAAAGCTGATTAGCCTCCATCATGCAGGTGGGCCTCATCCAATTGGTTGAAGGCTTTAAGAGAAACAAGATTGAGGTCATAGGCAACAAAAGCAAAAATAGACATATGGGATTATATTAATCAAAAAGCTTTTGGACAGAAAGGGGAAAAAAATCACAAAAATAAAAAGCATCCTATGGAATAAGAAATAATTAGGTACAAATCATATGTGTGATAAAAGGTTAATATCTAATAAAATACGCAAGAAACTCTTACAACTCAATAGCAAAAAACCAAATAAACCAATTTAAAAATGGCTGAAGGAACAGAATAGATATTTCTCCAAAGAAGACATACAAACAACCAAGAGGGATATGAGAAGGTGCTCAGGGTCGTTAATCATCAGGGAGATGTAAATCAAAACCACAGTGGGCTATCACCTCGTGCCTGGTAGAACAGCTATTATCAAAGACATGAAAGGCAACAGGTGTTGGTGAAGAAGTGGAGAAGAAGGAACACTTGTGTCCTGTTGGTGGGAATGTAAATTGCCGTCACCAGGAAAAACAGTATGGAGTTTCCTCAAAAAATGAAAAACAGAATTATCATATGACCCCACAATCCCAAAGGAAATAAAACGAGAATCTCAAAGTGGCATCTCCATCCATGTGTTCACTATGGCACTACTGACAAGCAAAGACGTGTGAGCATGCTAAATGTCTATCAGTGGGTGAATGACTAAATATGGCAATGTCTGCATACAAGAGAATATCATTCAGTCTTACGAAAGGAGAAAATTTTGACATTTGTGACAACATGGGTGACCTGGAGGACATTATGCTGAGTGAAATAAGCCAGTCGCAGAAAGACAAATACTGTATGATGTCACTTAGTGGAATCGTACAGTATTTGTCCTTTTGTGACCGGCTTATTTCACTTCTCATAACGTCCTCAAGGTTTATCCGTGTTGCAGGCTGCGTTAGAGTTTCTTTTCTTTTCAAGGCTGAAGATGCCCCTGTGTGTGTGCACGTGGGTACTACGTTTTGCTTATCCATTCTTCCATGGACGAGCACTTGGGTTGCATCCTACTTTTGGCTATTGTGGGTCAGGCTGCCATGAACCTGAGTATGAAAGCATCTCTTTGAGAACACGCTTTCAGTTCTGTTGGGAATACTCATATAACCAGACGTGGAATTGCTTGGTGATATGATAGTTCCATTTTTAATTTTTTGAGGAACCTCCAGACTATCTTCCATAGTGTCTGTGCCAACTTACATTCTTAGCAACAGCTTGCAAGGGTTCTGGTTTCTCTACATCCTTGCCAACATGTGATATATTTATTTATTTATTTATTTATTCATTTATTTATTTAGGATAGCAGTGTCCCAATGGGTGTGCAGTGGTGCATGACATTCTTTTAGGGGTCCTATCTGAGGATGCTGCTTTTAAGACCTTTACTATTCCCACTGGGGTACATAATTCTAGCTCCTAGAATAGTGCCTGGCCTGGGACAGGGCATAAGAAAATGAGGACATAAAAAGTTAGACAAAGTAGTGAGTATTGGTCCTGGAGTGGGCCCATGTGGTGGCGTCTGGGTCAGTGAGTGTCTGGCAGGGTGCTGCTAAGCTCTTGACTAGCAGATGAAACACTGTGACAGCCTGGCCCTGCTCAAAGCAGCAGAAATGGAGAGGCTGTGCTATCCCCTCCTTGCTTGGCCCACCTTAGTCACAAAACTGCCAGTGCTCTAGGGGATGGATGATGCAAGTGCGCCCATCAGGAGGCAGAGCCACATGTCAGAGCCCAGATCCCGCCTCCTTCCACATTGCCTTGCTGTGGCCAAGGGCTGGCTGGCGGCAGCCTCAGCGAGTTTCCCCACCTGTGTATGTGCTGTGGGCTTCAAATCCCTCTCTTTGTTTCTGTAGTGGGGTGATGCGGGCCCCTGTAAGGTCCAGGAGTTTAGGGACAGCATCCCTTCACAGGCTGTGTCCCAGGGGCGGGTGAAGCTGCTGGGGTGTGTCAGTGTTGTCTTCCTTCCTGGAGTCCAGCCGTCTTTGGGGTCTGTTGTTTCCGACTCCTGACCACAGCACTCTGGTGAGTTTCTAATGCTGATTTACTGCTAGGCTAACTTGTTTTCATGAATGACGGTTCTGAGCTGTGGCTCCGAGAGAAAGGACAGCACCCCGAGTCCTGGCACACTGAAGGAATCCACAAGGACCTGCTCTGAGAAGACCTTTCTGCACATGCTCCTCAGCCCTGCCTTGGAAGGTGGGCTGCCAGCTCCCCAGAAAGCATGTGCTCATAGGATTCCAGAAGGGCTGTATTCAAGGGCCCAAGTGGCAGGTGGAGGCAGATCCCGGGGGCTGGGTGAGCACACGCCTTTCCTTTCACCTGCAGACTCCCACACAGCTAGCATGGCAGGGGACAGGGTTCTTTCTGGTCTCATGGAGAGAGGCCCCAGATGTCTGGGGTAGTGCTTGCCTTTCTAACCAAAGGAACTTCTCTTGACTCTGTTGATGTCTTTCTTCTTGACTGCAGACAGGTAGCCCGAAACAGAGCGCATTTCTTTGCTGGGGCTGCTGTAACAAAGGCCACACATGGATGGCTTCACCCACAGCAATGTATTGTCCTACAGCCCTGCAGACTGCAAGTCCCAAAGCAGGTGTCAACAGGCTGAGCTCCTTCTGAGGCCTGGGAGGGAAAGCCTGCCCCAGGCCCCTCTCCTTGGCTTGAGGACAGCCATCCTTGCCTTGGGTGTTTTCACTCTGTCACTGCTCTTTGCTTGTCTCTGTCCAAATCTCTTTTTTTTTTTGAGACAGAGCCTCAAGCTGTCACCCTGGGTAGAGTGCTCTGGCATCACAGCTCACAGCAACCTCCAACTCCTGGGCTCAAGTGAGTCTCCTGCCTCCGCTACCCAAGTAGCTGGGACTATAGGCGCCTGCCACAACACCCGGCTATTTTTGGGTTGCAGCCATCATCGTTGTTTGGCGGTCCGGGCTGGATTCAAACCCACCAGCTCAGGTCTACGTGGCTGGTGTCTTAGCTGCTTGAGCCACAGACGCTGAGCCCCAAATCTCTTTTTATAAGGTCATTAGTCATACTGGATTAGCGGCCACCTAATAACCTCTTCTTAGCTAATTATATCTGTAACAACCCTATTTCCAGAAAAAAGTCATGTTCTGAGGTACAGGGTGTCAGGACTCCAACATATGAGGCCCCAACACTGAGGCGTTCACTCCATGACCCTGCAGGGCAAGTCATGGCCACTAAACACCAACTTGCTGAGCATGGAGGGTGGATAGATGAGAAGCCTTGGGCCCTGGCCAGCACTACTGAGCTTCCAGCCGGTGGCGGCACCTGCCCAACTTGAACTTGTGTTATTGGGGCTGCGGGGACCTTAGTGAATTTGGCCCCTGTGAGTTAGGTTTTCTGCCATTAGAGATCCTACCAATAAGTCAGGAGTCTCCTGGTATCCTGAATGCTGGGATTTTCATCTTGGCAATGACCAAACTCAGCATTACTGGAATTTCTACATTTTCACATTAAGGTGAAAATTGGATAGTTGAACACCTAAAGTTAGAAGCTTAGAGTCAAGTAAATAGCCACTACCCAATAAACCATTTGCTATTTTTTTTTTTTTTTGGAATACTCAGCTTCCATCCTCCTCTAAGCAAAAGTACCTGATACCTTTTAGGAACTTTCATCTTCCCTGTGGTGTTTGGCATCAGTGAGACTAAAAGTCAAGGTGTCCTCTGAGGCATCCCGGGCCAAGAGCAGAAGGAAGACCTGGGCCAGGCCCATTGATTGTACTGGTTCTCCCGGAGTCTGAAGGACTGGAGGTGTGCTCAGGCTTCTTCCCAGTGGGAGAGGTTTCAGGATGTGTTTGAGGCTGCCTGGTCCCTGACCTTTCCCGGCCTAGAACTTTGGTCTTCACCTTGAGTCTATGAGACTTCCAATCTCCTTTTAAATACTGCTTAAATTCTGCTTCATTTGTCCAATTTCTGTTTCTGTTGCTTGTGGCCAACGAACCCTAGCTGATCTGGAGTTTGATTCATAATTCCAAACAGTGATGAAGGTTCTGCTCTTCAGAGCATTTGGGAAAACAATCACATTCCTCCCGCCTCAGTGGAAAGAGAGCTACCTCCCTGCTCTTGCTAGCTTTATTCAGATCATTTCTCCAGTTCTGATTTAATATACCTGGAGTGAGATGGGAAAGTCATAAAGCCAGCCTCATCCCTCAACCCCACCCCACAGGGGTACCCTTCAGAATAGTGGCCCCAAATAGAAGTTGTTTCTAGAACCCTGCTGCTTAAGTCGCTCCCATACCTGTTACGTCAGGGCTGCCGCTGCCTGCCTTGCTGGGTTTTGGAATTTGTAGTTTTAAAACTTCTTTTCATGCTTATATTTGGTGTCATCACAGCCCATCTAGAAAGAAGAAAAATAATTTCAGTGGAACCCCCAGCAAAGGACCAAGCTCATGTTCAGTGGATAAGATTTCTTTAAATGTTAGTAATACTGTGAGGTTGGCTTTCAAAAAAAAAAAAGTTTTATTTTAATCCACACTTGAACTTCACAAAAGTTCTAAACAGGCATTTTTGGTGAAGTTGATATCCCTTCTAATAGTCATGAATTTGCTTGTGGTCCAGTAAATCTTTAGGCATCTG